AGTATAATTAAATGATGTTGATTATAATAATAATTATAAAATAAAAAATAGATCAGAGCTAACTGAAAATTGATTTGCATAACTCAAAAAATGTATTTTTAAAATATCATTAGAACTTCTCAATAAAAAACACATCTGTAAAATTTAAAACCAAGCTGTGTAGTTAATACATAGTATTTTATTCATACATAGCACACTTACAAAAACTTGTTTTACGAGTTTGTTGGAATAAATACATTTGAACATTTTCCACAAAACAAATTGTTATTCTGGAAGGAGTATATTTAGTAGGTGCAAGAACATAACATGTTTTTGTACTTCTAGTCTTTTATGTTTGAGGTAATATAAACATTATTATTTATGAACCTAGGAAAACATCGATTACATTTCTATTTAAAGAAAAATGCAAAAGCTATTCGAGCTTCCAAGCTATTGATTGTTTCAATATTATAATATATTGTTTAATTATTTTTTTTATAAATCAGAAATAAACACGGAAATAACGTACATTATATAATATTATCGTGAATTAGTTTTTAACGATATGTCGATTGCTAAAACCTGAATATCGATACCACGAGTTCGCGCTTACCGGGGACATCCACGGCGTTCATTGGACTACCGCCCAAAAACGCTTATTCGCTCATTTTTGTACACCATCCCTCATAATTTCGTTATGTGACCTATTCGGAAAAGTAAGCAGACAGTTGCAGAACGCAGTGCACGTTTATATGATCTTACACACAACGTTCTGAGATAATAATTGAAATGTAAGGAACTACAATTAATATTGACATAATATTATTACATGTATCGGAAAAGTGGAATTTCGGCAGTAGCGTACTTGAATTTTCAAACAACGAGTGCAATAACAACTTTACTATCGTAACTCGTTAGACATTTTATCACACTTATGATAATAATTAAGAAAAATTTGATTCAACGATGTCATTACCACTTACCAACGCTAGACTCTATGTTTTTTTTAAAATGTTTTCTATTTATAACTTTTATCATATTGTATATATTTTCAAAAATATGCTCGACACCCAAGACATGAAATTTCCACTTTGATATACTAGACGTCTGGATAAGCCGACAACGTCAACTTGGTCGCTGTAAGTCGGTTATTTCGTTTACATCTGAGCGATTTCTTGTACAAATACACGGGAAGGAGAGTTGGTGAAGAGACAGACCGAGAGAGAGAGAGAGAGAGAGAGATAGAGAGAGAGAGAGACGGATAGACAAAGAGACGGAGACAGAGACGGAGGCAGAGACAGATAGAGGGTGAGTGAGAGACGGTACAATAATTGTAATAATGATTTTACGAATACCACACTTGTGCGCGTCCAAAGTCAATAGTATAGGCTTTCGGTGGATATAAAAGCCGCTGTGTACATAATATATGTATATATTGTTTGCTCAGTAAAATAAACACTCGGGAATTAGCTCGAGGGGAGCGGGACGAGAAATATAGGAATTCGACCCGTGGCGGTCGGGACTTTTGTATCCGTCGTGTGTGCGCCCGACAATGGATTATAATATTTAAAGTGACTCGCGACGACGACAACCGACGAACCTAACCTCGGTGCACATACACGTATTATACGACGCGCAGTGACGAATTATGTGCAGCTGAGCCCACTCCCACGGTGCCGAGAGTACTGCTCACTATTACTATTATTACTGTCGTCATTGCGTTCGCTAATTTTGCGTACGTGACCAGAGTGTTCATTATACTATACGCATAATATGATATTTATATATATATGGAGGTATATAAATTGTGCCGAACGGGCCCGCTAAAACCGACGGCCGTGCGCGTCTTGAGTGCGCTTCGACGGCTGACGACGAGCGGCGAGTGCCCTGTTATTAATTATATGTTATACACTCGCGTGGTCCTCGTCCCAGATGATGTTTGCCGTTTGTGTTGGAACAGTGTTTGTGCTTGTTGTGTAACGTGCAAGTGACAAGTACACCGCGAGTGTTAATAATAGAATAAAGTGTGGACCGAAATGACGTATTATTTCAATAGGCGCCGCGATAACACAATATAATATTATTTATTATATACTACCCAAATGTTGAATGGTGGAAGTTTGATTCGATTTTAATTCAAAGCACTCTAGTTTTTGACAAAACTGTGGAGGGGTGCATGTGCTGCCGCGTTGAACCGAAGAAGTATTATTGCTGCTCACAATATACATCGCAGGGACTCGATGGTGCTGGAATGTATGTTGGTCGGGGCGGGGTGAAGTTTGTATATGACTGCTCGATCCGCGATAGGCCTAAGATTTTTGTGAAACGAAAACTTCTCTTCGCTTTTGTGAAATGCCCACAGACCCCCCCCCCCCTTCGGAAAGCGAGCGCAGTGATTGTGTGACTGGGTGGATGGGCGTAAGACGCATAAAAACGTCAATACCTACTCAGTTTTTCCAGTTGTTTATCCCCCTCCCCACTAGTACAAGAACAGACGTTAGAATATGATTATCGGCTGTTGGTGTCGAAATCTTCGTGTTTTTCTTTTAACCCGGCTCTAGGGTCAACGTCGCCGGTCTTCGTGTACTCTGCGCAATGTTTTGCATAACAAAATAATCTCGGAATAAAAACTTTGCACACTTTTATTCATCGTCACAAACGTTTTTATTTGCATTGACATTTGACGTACATTGTGCGGAAGTTTCTATTATGCTTTTTGTACAGTTACTACGATGGTCCTAATTTAATTTTTCGAAAAATGTGTACATGTACCTACTATAATTACTAGTCATTGTTATAAATCTAATGAAATTCTAGTTTTTATATTCAAGTCTTAATTCTCATTAGTATAAAAACGCCAAATTGCAGGCAGATAAATAGGAGCGATAAACTATATTTACAATTACTAAAATATATACCCAATATATTTTTGATTCGAGTTGAATGCGTTTAATCGTTAAAAGTACTAAATGCAATTTAACGTACTTTATTTGTTTGATAGTGAATAAAATGCATTACCTACAATTTTTTGTTTACATTCGTTGCATCTCCTAACAAAAAAATCTTAAGTTTTCGAAACGAATCATTTTGTTTTAAGTCATTTTATTCAAGCCAACCGTCGTTCACTTCTGGGTGAGTTTAAACGTCGTGGAAGGTAATCGAGTTCCACCGACAAAACATTTTTTTAACGTTCAACAGTCTTGCAGCGGGTAGCCGCGGGTTTCGAACATTATATAGCATTCTGCATAAAATGATTTTTTACTGAGCGCATAAATCATACAAAAGTTCAAAGAAATGGACGGGCGAAATATTATTTTGAATATATTATTATATGATATAAAAGCTTCCCGGCAACAAATTCCAGAGAATAATATAATCGCGATCTCCAATTCGAATTCCACATTCTCGAATGTGAACATCCAGGATTGCGAACTCTGCTGCGACCAAAGCTTGGAAGGATACTGCACGGACAAACACACACACTCTGAGATATATTATATACTTCAAACAACATATTTTGCTGCCTTTCAAAATAACCATATATATGTATTATGTACATTTCACACTTATATTATATGAATTATGTCGAACGGGAATTCAAAAATTATTATTTTGCGCTTACCCGTAGAATTGGTCGATGTGTGCGTAGGGTCGGTCCGAAAGAGATATACAATAAGCTATATCCGTAATATATGTTGCGCCCGAAATAGGTTTTATATTATAAGGTACGTAATATTTTATATATTCAAAATACCCGTTTTCCTTTTGTCACATTATTTCAACGCTTTTCTGCAACAAACAGTCAAAAGTAACGAAAGTCCGCTGTTATAGTATAGTTATACCGGCAACTGGTATGCAATAATAATATTATATAAAAAGTTTTATTCAAAGTTTTGACGTGCAGAGTAGTGGAATACAAATTTGCAATTTTAAAATTTAAAAATTAATCCTTTGGGGTAGAATCTACAAGTCACCCCAGTCAACATTAAAAAAATTAAATTCAAATGAGTTAGGTTTGCAAAGTAGCAACAATTGTACTACAGCGTGGCCGCTGGTTAGCTCCAACCTATAAAAGTATATTTAATAGTTGTGTTGTGTTCTATTTATACGATATTAAACTGCTGTCTCTCTCCGACTGTATAATATAATACTGTCTTGTCCGTGCACGTTTCGCGCTTTGTATTTCTTATTTTCTTTAAGTCCAAAGCATCCGGCGTGTCGTGCATCATTCGAACGGCAGCTGTGCGACTGTTCCCGTTGCCGGTCTCGTTTTCGGCAAGTGCTTTTTAATGAACGTCGCTTGGTCCTGTCAAACCCCGTTTTAATTAAACTCGTCCGCGCGAGAACGACTCGAAACGTCATTGTCCGCGCTGAGAAAACAAATACACAACAGTACTTCTTCATTTTTCATAATTTTTTGTATTTTCATTAAAAATAAATCACAATCATCGTTTTGTACATTTTATAATTTCGTTTTTATTTTTTAAATTATATTGTTTGTAAGTTATGTCTTATGTGTATTAAATTTAAAGTATAGATACACATTTATTATTTATATAATATATTATACAGAATTACTTTTTATCGTGAACCGCAGTAATATTGTGGTATTTGTTTGTTTGAGAAGGGAGCTTGGAATTGTTCACAATTTATTATTAACGTTTAAGAACAGTTCTATTATACATTTTTCTATGAATACCTATTATAGTAATTCTTCTGAAAATGTGAAAAAAATATATTGCACGCGGTTCACGATAAAATAAATCATTCAGTTATGTACATGACACGTAAAAACAACAATTAAAAAAACTAAAACAGGATAGAATAATAAGCATCACATAGAATATCGTGATGTAATCGTAAATATATTAAACAGACATATATTTATGTATAAACTGCGGACACACTATAATAATAATAATAATAATAATAATAATAATAATGACAATAATATTAATAATAATAGGTTTGTACAAAATAACGCATTTATCGGCGCGTGTAGCTCTCTCTAATATATCTCGCCAGGTGGATAACGGCGACTGTGCTAAGTTGGTTCGGTTTGAAATATAAGAAAAATAAAACATACACAATCGATAGTATAAAATAATGTTCGTCGTACTTAAATTGCCCAAACAAAAACGAGGAACGCCGGCGAAATCGATCGATAGGAATAGTAGGGTTGTAGTTGAAGGCCGACGAGGATGTGATTGGCAGCAGTGGACTTTCAAACGGGAGTAGGTTTCTCGGGTACTGGCGGCGGTTGTTGCGGCGGTTGAGGCGGTTGCGGTGGAGGACGGTCTTCAGCGGTCGACCGCAGGTCGGTCAGCTCGCAGTAGATGTCGGTGTACGATTCGTCGTCGCGCACATTTGCTGCACCACCGTACAACAAGTCGACCGGGTCCACGTAATCGCTGTTGACTGACGGCGACGGAGACGGCGGTGGCTGCGGCCGGCGACCGTGGTATCCCGCTGACGCTCCTGCCCCGGCCACCTTGAGCCTGGGCGTCCGGAGTCTGTCCAGCGACGGCGCGCCCGTGCCAACCGACTTGACGTCCCGTGGCAGTCCGTCGCCCGCGGTCACCGCCTTGGTCATGACGGTGGACATCATGTCGTCCAGCCCCCCTCCGCCGACCGGGTACCAGCCGGTGTCTCCGCAGCAAGTCTCTTCCACCCGGATCAGGTCGTACAGGTGTTCGATTATGCCACGCGCCTCGGCATAGTCGTCTGGGTCGTCCAGCTTGTCGCGTAGGTTTTGCAACATCTCGTGCGTCAGCTCTTCCGGTACCGTCTGCGTGCCCTTGTCTTGGTATACGATCATGCGCACTGCACCAACGTCGCTGCCACAGCCGACACCGACGCCGCCCAACTTGAGCCGTTGCAGTTCCGCGTACTCGTGCACTGACATCCGGGACAGCGAGTGCGCCGAGATTGTCCTGCACGCAGTTCCGGCGCCGCCACCGCCCCCGCCGCTATTCGGGGTGAGCAGTGACCGGAGCTTAATGAAGTAGCCGCGGGCGTTGAGCCAGGTGACGGCGCTCACGGCGCACACCGCACCGAAACCGCACAGCACCAACAGCACCACTGTGGTGATGACTCCCCGTTCCGCGGTCGGTGACAGAAAGTCGATCGGTGGAAAACGGCCGGTGCCGGTGGTCAACCGGTCGCGGACGCACCAGTTGAACGCCGTGCCGGCGTCCCGGTCGCATCCGGCCGCCGCCGTGAACTCGGCGATTCGCAAGTGGTCGAGCTCCGCGCCCGTCAGGTTGGCGCACCCCGCTCCCACCGTGTTTACCCTGCAGTAGTTGTGGTCGGCGAACTCGGCGTCACCGTCATCTTCGTCGTCACCGTCACCGTCGTCGTCGTCGGCCACGGTGCTGTTCGCCACGGAGACGAAGCGCCAAGGGCCGCAGCCGCACGGCCCTACGAACGTGTTCCCGGTGATGTTCGTTTCGGACGCGGTCCTCTGCAGCCGGACCGGAGGCGACCACTTGCCGTCAGCCGGAGTCTGCAGGAAACTGTTGTCGCAGACGCTCAACGTCGTCTTCGTGGTCGTTCTTGTTTCCGGACTGGACGCGGTCGTCTCGTAAAACGCCTCGGGCTCGATCTGTTCGAACGTGTTGCCGTGCACCAGCATCACTTGGAAGTTGTGCAGCACGAACCCGCGGCCGGCCACCCGCTTGAAAGTGTTGCCGTACAGTTTGAGCTTTGTGGCCACCGCGACGGCCGATGGTTGCACCGATTCGAACCTGAAACGGAAAAAAAAACGGTGATATTACTCGGGTTTAAGTGGTAGTTGTCCAACAGTTTTATCACGATACATGCGAACGGTTATAGTGATTGAATAATGCTATCGCTGCGCAGGACACCCGAAATCCTTTGTGCCGGCCTAGCTGGGGGGGGGGGGAGGCTGCGCTTTTTGGCGGTCGTTCGCTATAACTTTTGGGTTGCGACAGATCAACCGCCCTGTTTTATATGATATTATATATGTAGGTCAGCCCGTGTAGGTGTTCGTGGGTATATGTTCACATAATAATATATTGTTTTATTTTTGCACTCGAGGTATGTATTTTATTATTATTTTGTAATCGTGTCACCGCACGCGCTGCACTACTCGACGAAACGCGCGTATACGATCATAATATAACTACGGTTTTTTTTGGTTTTTTTTTTTTTTACACGACTATTACATTAACACAATTCGTAACTTTTATTTTTTTTTTATCGTAAAAATACTATTTGGTGAAAAAAAATATAATTAATGTCTGCTGTGTACGAGCGCATGCCGAGTGTTTATCAGTTGTTCAAAGACCATTGAGTTTTTTAGCTCAGGTAGATTTGTCATTTTTATATATTTTATATACGTGCGTTTTCCCTCAACCCCTCCATCACTCGAGTGATGATACAATTACTGAAACAACTCTTCTAGTGCTTAAAGTGTATTATGTAGTGGTAGCGGCTGAGTTGATACAGACAGTAATAACGCATTCGAACACTCGATTTTCCATTAACCGTGTACAAAATTATGCGGAACAAAATAAATAAAAGAATGTATGAAGAGCGGAGCTGTGTGCATACACATTACACAACCATTGTTGTCGACAAAAATCGTAGATTATACGCACACTTCACGAAGTCTGGTGATAGACACTCTTGACATATACAATTTAAAGGCAAACTATACCTATGAAAAGGGGGAAATATTTCAGCTAGAGAGATGAATAGAGCGTAGATACACGCGTCGAGGAAACTTTTTTGGCGATCTTCCAATAAAGACTTGGTTTGCAACCACCACGTGTAAAGTATTTGAAAAGATTTATAAAAAAAAGATGTATGGTTCGATTAAAAAATAGTAAATGCTAATATATACAATCATTTTGTATTGGTGTGTTTTGTTTTGGAAATCCATTATGGAAACATTATATATTGAATGTAATAAATTATTATTATTATTATGAAATACGAATTCGCATTATTAAAATAATATTTGTCAACGATGCCATTAATCTTTTGGATTATATATATTTTTAGTTATTATAATATGTATATATGCATAGTCTGAGAAAAAAAGTACCTATAGCATATTAAGACGTAATAAATTTTACTTAAATAAATATCTGAAGTACGTTGTTATCTTTGTGTTGCATAGTTATTGAAAGTTTTGAAGTACAAATTTATGTCCTTAAAGAACACACAGTATTTGCTGACTAATTCGTATAACCAGTGCTTTTTATACATATAATGCGTATATGAAGTTTACACAAATGATAAATGTACACAACTTTATAATCATCTCAAGTCATCGGCAAATATAATTTTCAATATTATATTTAAGCCTAAAATATAATATTAATATATATATCAATATTAACAAATCACTATTACTAAATACATAATACATAATATATGATTTGATTTTGTGGTAAATAAGGGCTTTTACGGAAAGTTAACTGTTTAGATAGCATAAAATAGTTGAAAACAAAGTACTGCACAAATCAATATTCAGTATATTATAATAATGTTTTCGACGAGTTTTTAAACAATAGTAGCTACTCTCTCTCCTTTTCTCTCTCCCATTGCATATACATATCCACAAATACACAGAGCGGGAGTTTCGGTAAATCGTCTTGGGGCGAAAACCGTTTTAGACACAATATGTGTATTTCATACGTGTAAATAGTTCTTCGTACGGCGACTCGTCTAAAGTGTGTATATATTAATGACCGACCATCGGTGTGCTATTATATAGTGGTTGTGGCGGACGCGATTACTGATTATTGCTGGACCCCGGGGGTGGCTGTCCGAGATCCTGGAGCGGGAATTATATAAAGTGTACGCGGCTGTAAAACGTACAGCGGCCCTTCGATCGAGCATGAATAATGATTAATGGAATCGTTTGCGAAAGTGAGTGGTGGATTCGATAACGGCGGAAAGCGCGCTGCCCGAAGTTCCGGTCAACACTGGCCAAAGTGAATTCGTCGGATTTCGTTTGCAATTCAATCGACGAGGCTCTGCACATCCATTTTTATAGGTACCAGCTGGGAGAGCCGTGGCTGAGTGGTACGACTATACGATTTTCCGCAAGTAACGGTAAAAGCGTGCGCGTATTATACTCATATGTACATAATACCCCGAAAACGATACTTTCGGAAACGCGTTTTTCCGGCAAACTCCCCTTTACCCTCGTCCGCAATTAAAGAGGTATAGCCCCTAACATATGTATAGTGCGTTATACGGTGTAAACTCATTCCCATAACCGTAACGACGGCGACCATTTGCAGGCTGTCGTTTTAATTCGATCCTATCGTTCTCTATTCTCACACATGCAACCACATCTCGCAAATAACCGGTGCACGGAAGTTATGAATTTAAAATAAATTACCTATTAGTCTTTATATTATAATATTATGTTCGTAGGTATGCATTTAAAAATGATAAAATATAATTTTGCTCTATTAGCTGAAATAATTTTGTTCACGAGTATATCTTTCTGATTTTCCAATATTTTGCAACCGACATATATTTACCCGAAATTGTGAGACTGTTTTTACTATTTTCATAACTCGATTTTTATTGAATATTGAAACCACTACCTTGAGTGCCGTGAATGATACAACTGTAGAATTTAGGAGCTGTATAAATAAGGAACATAGCGTTCAAAAATATTGACAAAAATCGTTTTGATCGTTCTAGCTTTTGAGGTTAGGTGCCGATAGGAATGTATTCGAACTCTATAACTTCCGATCCCTGAATCGTCACGTAATATCAATACACTAATATGGTGTGTAAAAATAATTTGATATAACAACCCGGTACTTGTGATGATATCTGCAAATACACAGATGCTGTTTGCTCAATGTGTGCCGCTGGTGTGATATCGCTGACTTTGGGGAGGAAAACTAATAACTAGCACGAGAGACGTCTTATGCCAAAACGCTTTACAATAATTTATCAGCAGGCCACGCGCGTGTGCGCATATAATAATAATAATAATAATAATAACAGTAATGTAATGCACGTCTTATCTAATGCACTTTTACGGGGAGGAAAAAAAACACTTGGCGACTCGAAAGCGAAAATCTCGTTAAGAAAACATTTTAGATTCTTGTCGCGTATAATGGATTACTCGCGGTTTGATTGTATTATTATTAATGTGGGTAAAAAAACGGGTTGGCCCGAAACACGCGCCGCGTACACCGTACGCAGTAGTCGTGCAGGACTCGCGGGGTGTCTCGCCGATAGTCGTCGCCTCTAAGTACCCCTATTATACTGTTATACATTTCAGAGTTATTCAAAGTTTGTCCGGGAACGAGAGCCGCGTATATAGGACATTATGATACCGTTGTGTGTATAGATGTGAGCTGCAGTAAAACAAGATGACGACCTGCAGATATTCGAGCGGAAATAAAAGTTTCGAAAACAAAAACTATGATTATGTGCTCCGCGTGATATAAGCTGCATAATTTGTATACAATCACGCGATAATGGTATGGCGACGCGAATTGTATAGAGTCGCGGGCACCACGGTTTGAATAACCTGCGGCCGACGAAATATAATATGATGAACGCGAGGTATTCCGATAAGGACTTTGTTCACTGTATACTGTTGAATTCTTTCGAAAAATATCAGAAGAAATACTGATCGTTGAATAAGATCCTCGCGTAGTCACTAGTCCAATTATTTTTTCACTCTTCGCGGCTCTATTAACACCACAAAACGGTTTATTATGATATGAATAATGGAAACGATCTGTTTCGGCTGATGTGTCGGACGTGTAATATACTTATATATATAAATGTACGAAATCATCCGGATTGGAAATATAATAATAATAAAATATGAGATTTGAAAATGATCGATAAAATCGATTATAGATTGCATGTCACTGTGATATTATATTATATAAGCGGAGAGGTAGCTATAGCATAGTGACGAGACCGAAAATAAATCGCTACGTCAATATACGGCTTAGTGGCGGTTTTGAGAAGTTCTCGCGACGAGACAAGCCGCGCCAATTGGAAAAGTGATGGCAGCTTTAATTTCAGACGGATTTATTTAACCCTTATCACGGAGAACTGCGTACACGAGTAATGTTGTGCGTCGTCTCCGCGGTGATGAATTTTTAATGAAAATGCAATCACTAGAGAGAGGCGACTGCAGATTTAGGTTGAAACCGAAAAAAATAAAAACCTTCGTAAATCCGTTTTACGATATTTCAGAATCGTAAATAATACTTAATAGTTGTATTCTTTTGATGTCGTCAACAACAATAATACATCGTATTGTTTTTGCAGTGCATTATACACGCGGTGTCTACGTTGGGCAAAGGCTATATATACAGGGTAGGCCATCGTGTTTTTCTGCCTAACCTTATGGGAATAAACGGGAAAACACTGTGTCCCACTATATATATATATATATATATATATATTATACATAATATAATATATATAAATAATGTATTTTATAGTGCATATAACTATAACGCCCGAGGGGCGGCGATATGATAACGTTTCAAAAACAAACAGACAAAACAAAAAAATACAACTTTTGAAATCCCAGCGTACACTCGATAGCTATATATATATATATACCTAATACAATATATAAATATCTATAGGCATGCCACTCGTATATATTTTCTTTTTCCAGCTCCCTCCATATCCATTTACCGTACTTTACACCGCGCCGAGTGGGTTTTCCAGGACCGGTGCGCTTTATATATTGTATAACACTCACACACATATT